CAGCCTCCCGCTGCCCCGGGAAGGGCGAGTCCCTACCTGTCTCACACTGGGTCCCCACAAAGCCCTCAGGACAGTAGCAAGCGAAGGACCCAGGGAGGTCCCGGCAGGTCCCACCATTCTTGCAGGGCTCCGACTGACACTCATCAACATCTGGGGGGAGCAGCAGGAGGAGAGGCACCAGCTCAGCACAGAGACAGAGCCAGTGGCAGGGGACAGGGCCTTGGAGAGGCAGCGCTTCTCCTGCAGGGCACAGGCCCTCCCCACATCATTCGCTACCCCAAGCCCACTGGCCAGGAACAGTCCTGCTCCTGGGGCTGTTGGGAGCCCACTACCCCACACCTGCTCCTGCGCGGAGGACAGGCCCACAGGGACACCTGAGGACGGTTGGCAGTGTGGGGCTGTGCCAAGAGGTCCCATAAGGTGCCTGCAGCATGTCCCCCCCTCTAATCCCCTGCAGGCATCCCACCTTCTCCCACCACTGTCCTCCGCCAGGCCATGGGGAGCCAGGCTAGAGCTGCCTGCCGCAGAGTCCCATCAGCCCACACGCTGCCCGTCACCCCCTTCAACCAGTGCCTGCATGTCACCACAACCATGTGCACACTCAGGAGCAGGAGCACAGCACGGCCAAAAACGTGCACCCTCAAGCTGCTTTCCGCTCCGACTCTTGGCCAAGAGCTTTGGAGCCAAGCAGGGCACTTCCCACCCAGATCCCGAGATCTGGGGCTTCTCTGCACAGGCTTAACATGTGTCAGGAGAAGTCATTGCCCCATCAGTGATGGTGATGCCCACACAGCATCCATTAGCTGGGGGACACAAGTAGCGCACGTGTCCCCGCAGCCCTGCCTGCTCCTCCACCTGACCGGGAAGTGTCACCCCACCAGCATATCCCACAACTGGCTAGAGGCTCCAGAAAAGGAGCCCTTGCTGCAGGCTGATCCGAGCACACAGGCAGGAGCCTGAAACCAGCCCGCACAACCACAGGCGGGCTGGCTCCTGACGATGGGGTTTGTGCCCACTGCCGTTCCCCAGGCACTGGGGGGCAAGGAAGGATTTGCTATAGCTGCTTGCAGTGACCCTACAGCATACCCAGCATGGTCTCTTACCTGACTCGCAGTGGTGGCCGGGGTAACCCGGCTCACACAGGCACAGGAACTCAGCAATGCGGTCCTTGCACTGGCCACCATTCAGGCAAGGCTGGGACTGGCACTCATCGATCTCTGCAGGCATTTGGGCAGGGGAAGAGACAAGGCGAGAGATGTCAGCACCAGGCAGGGGGCAAGGGTCCCCAGGGGCCCTGCACAAAGACACAGGCAGGGGAGGACTGGAGTACGTGTCCTGGGGTCAGTGAGCCATGGTTGTGACCACAGCCCACTGGAACAGTGCCCCAGGGCTCAGCCGCTCCCCGGTGCTCCTCACCATCGCACTCGGGGGGGTCACTCCAGACACCTGGCAAGCGGCAGACGCGGGGGTGGTTGTGCTGACTGAGGGTGTAGCCCAGCTCACACTGGTATTCAGCCAGTGAGCCCACCTTGGTGGAGTTGAAAGAGGCCCGGGCATGCTTCACCTCGCTGGGGATGCCGCAGTCGATCTCTGGGGAGAGACGGAGGGATAAGCGGGACCCGCAGAGGCACCCCGAGCCCCTGGCTGGCAGGGGCAGAGCAAGGCCCTTACCAGATTGGCAGTGCTTCCCTACGTAGCCCACAGGGCACGTGCAAGCGTAGCCCCCGCCAAGGTCCTCGCAGGTAGCGCCGTTCTCGCAGGGGCTGAGGAAGCATGGGGAGGGCACTAAAAGAGCGGAGCAAAGAGCGACTGCTGCAGAGCTGGCAGAGCCCAGAAACCAGAGCCATCCGCTTCCCCTTCCAGCAGTGCTGCCCTGCCCTCCGGCAGTATGCAAGAAAGGGTTGAAGCACTTCAAATTACAGGGAAGGGGGCTCAAAGTAAGCAGCAAGGCTCACTTGCTGCTGCGGCCATCAGCTCTGCTGGCAGCCCCATCACCTCCCCAGGCAGCCCCATGCACTGGCACGCCCGGCCAGTGCATGCTTCCCCTACCGATCTCACAGTGCCGGCACCCCCAGGCACGGGCACGCCCGGCCAGTGCATGCTTCACCTACCGATCTCACAGTGCCGGCCAGCATAGCCCAGGGGACAGTCGCACTTGTACTTGCCGATGTAGTGGAAGCAGGTGCCCCCGTTCTGGCAGGGCCCCGAGGCACAGGGGTCTGGCTTACCTGGGGGTAGAGGGCACATGGGAGCTGAGCAGCGAGCAGGAGGACCACTGCTCTCCTCCCTGGGTGGGGGCCAGGGGCCGTACCTATCTCGCAGTGCTTGCCGGTGAAGCGGTATGGGCAGGTGCAGTGGTACTCGCCATCCGCCTCCCTGCAGGTGCCCCCGTTGCGACAGGGCCCCGTGCTGCAGAGCCGTGGCTTGGCTGCAGAGAGAGTGCCAAGACTGGGGTTCACCCACTGCTGCCAGCACCTCGAGGGCCACTGCCTCCCACCAGCACCCCACCAAACCCCTCACTGCGGGAAAGACAAGCGCACCTGGGCCTCACAGCCCTGGGCTGCGAAACAACACCCGTGCAGAGGCGTGCCGGGGCCACAGGGAGCCAGGCGCGCATGATGCCAGGGCACTGGCGTCTGCTCCTGAGGCCAGAAACTCAAGCGTGTAAAAAATCCCCAACAGTGATGGTGGTGTGCAGGAAACACGGCAACTGGATCAGCTGCTGCAACTGCTGCAGAAGTGAGCCACGCGACCCTCCCTCCAGCCTGTGGGGTGGGATGGGATAACCTGCACCCAATTCCAGCTGCAGTTCAGCAAGCAGCCACTTGTCTCCCACAAGAGTCCAAGCTCTTCTCCCAACCCCTGCCAGGTCCTGGGGCTGGCAGGGAGCTTGTGCAGGTACCTTTCTCGCAGTGCTTGCCAAGGAAGCCTCGAGGACACTCGCACGTGTACGAGTCATCATGAACCTCGCAGGACCCCCCATTCAGGCAGGGCTCTGAGTCACAGGGGGATGGCATCGCTGCAAAGCCAAACACAGGGCATCACTGAGGATGTATGACCAGGGGTGAGGGTGGCTCCCCGGCTGATGACAGTAACCTCTGCTCACCCCCTCCAGTCTCATGTCCCTCCCTGGGGCTGGTCCTGCATCCCTGTGGATGAGACTTACTGTGATTGGTGCCGTAGTCAGTGTGGCAGACACAGAGGTAGCTCCCACCATACTCCATGCAGTACCCACCGTCCGGGCACTGCGTGTTCATGTTGCACGGTGTGGTGGTGACTTCTGCGAACACACAGCCAGTGCCGGCCTCCGTCAGCCAGCGGCAGGAGGACACCCAGCCGGCTGCCTGGCTGGAAATGGAGATCTCCTAACTTTGTGGGGTCTGATGAGACAGGAGGAACCCTCTGTACCCCATGCCCCAGACCGTGCAAACGGCAAGGGCCAGCCTGGGCACCCAGTGAGCTTCAGAGCAGGAGCGCACAAAGGCTGTGGTTCCCCACCCAACCCAGGGGAGCTGGGCTGGGGCCAGGGGCTGGGAAAGGCACAGCTCAAGAGGGAGCAATGGGGATGGAAGCGTTGCCTCCTCACCAGGGTACAATGTTTTCTGGCTCAAATTCAGTGTGTGCCCCTGGCACCATGCTAGGCTCAGGCGTGGGCAGCCTGCCTGGTTCAAGCATCCCAGAGAAGGAGCAAACACAGTGGGTGAGAAGCCTTCACGTACCAAATTCACAGAGAAGACCAAAAAACCCAGGTGGGCACTGGCAGATGGTGACGTTACCCTCCAGACAACTGCCCCCATTGCGACACTCGCAGCCCTCCGAGAGCTCTGCAAGAGAGGAGACAGGAGCTTCCCAGGACCCCTCCTGCTTGTGGGGCTGGGACACCCAAGCAGCCTTGCTGGATGCCACCCACGGGGGGGGGCTCAGGCAAGCGGCA